TGACTCCTGTACCCCCACACATACCCAGTCCCCCCCACTCCATGCCCTGACTCTTGCACCTCCCACATCCCCACCCCCACCCTGAGCACCAAACAGGAGCTCCTGCACACACACCCCACATTCCCACCTGCACCCCTGGTCTGGGGTCCCAGCTGCCGGCCCCTTGCCAGCTGGGGTCCCGCAGGCCCCGCTCAACCTGCTGCTGAACTAGGTGAATGGAACCCCAGGCCGGCAGCAGACTGAGTGGGCCGGCAGCATAAGATCAGCATTTTAATTTAATTTTAAAGTAAGCTTTTTAAACATTTTGAAAACCTTGTTTAGTTTACATACAATAGTTTAGTTATATAATATAGACTTATAGAGAGAGACCTTCTAAAAACGTTAAAATGTATTACCGGCACGTGAAACCTTAAGTTAAAGTGAATAAGTGAAGACTTGGCACACCAATCTATTGAAGCCTATGTCTATACTTCAAACACTGTATTCTTTTGACAACCTAACACTGTCTACACTGGGGCTCAGGTCACATTACCTACTTCTCTCAGTGGAGTGGATTTTTCACACCTCTGAGAAATGTAGCTATGTCAACATAGCTTTTCAGTGTAGATCAGCCTTTAGATGGCTTTTTGATATGAAAAGCAGTGGACTTCAGCCTTTTCCTTGATATTGATGGTTGATGATTGCAGCTTTCCTACCTGCTGAACACATCCTATGGCAGATGTCATGCCTTTCCTTTGCAAATTAGAGAAGTGGGGAAGTCAGTGACCATTACAATCTAAGTGGGTAAAAAGTTATACCACTTTTCTCCTTGCGTAGTTTTCACTGGGCCAATATTCTCTTATACACTCTTTCTCATACACATTCTTCCACTCCAACCTTTGGAGTGAGGTTTTCTACCAGAACTCCTTACACTACAGGGGGTAAATTAAATCAAATTAACTTTTCAAGATTAGCCATCATTTCCTGTACAAATAAAACAAAAAACAAGACAACTTTCAGTTTTCGAAAAATAATTCAGATTATCACACAATTAGTCTCTTACTCTATAGTCAATAACTTCACCTACAATTTCATTTTCACTGGTAACACTAACATTAAAAGATCACAATTTTTTGTCATATATGTTAGTTTTCTTTTATCCCCATTGCCAACAACTGAACCTTAGCTCAAGTTGCGGTTTGTCCCAACGTAGGCCCCAACCACTTCTGAGAGTTCATATCTCTCTGGTTCTTCTGCCATGTGTGTTGTTGGAAGAGGTCTTCTATGTGGGAATGTTTGCATCATGAGGAAAAATACCTCTCTTTTCACACTTTTTAATCTTTCAAAGTAGGAGGAGGTAGAGAAGTGATGTAAATGCATAAAACACAAGAGAAAACTGTCTGGTCTACACTAAAGACATTTATCCGTATAACTATGCATCAAGCCTGCCGAGACTCATCAAGCCCTCGGATCGCTACCCCTTCCTGCTTCTCCACGTGGGCACCAATGATACTGCCAAGAATGACATTGAGCGGATCACTGCAGACTACGTGGCTCTGGGAAGAAGGATAAAGGAGTTTGAGGCGCAAGTGGTGTTCTCGTCTATCCTCCCTGTGCAAGGAAAAGGCCTGGGTAGAGACCGTCAAATCATGGAAGTCAACGAATGGCTACGCAGGTGGTGTCGGAGAGAAGGCTTTGGATTCTTCGACCATGGGATGGTGTTCCAAGAAGGAGTGTTGGGCAGGGACGGGCTCCACCTAACGAAGAGAGGGAAGAGCATCTTCGCCAGCAGGCTGGCTAACCTAGTGAGGAGGGCTTTAAACTAGGTTCACTGGGGGAAGGAGACCAAAGCCCTGAGGTAAGTGGGGAAATGGGATCCTGGGAGGAAGCACAAGCAGGAGAGTGCAAGAGGGGAGGACTCCTGTCTCATACTGAGAAAGAGGGACGATCAATGAGTTATCTTAAGTGCCTATACACAAATGCAAGAAGCCTGGGAAACAAGCAGGGAGAACTGGAAATCCTGGCACAGTCAGGGAACTATGATGCGATTGGAATAACAGAGACTTGGTGGGATAACTCACATGACTGGAGTACTATCATGGATGGATATAAACTGTTCAGGAAGGACAGGCAGGGCAGAAAAGGTGGGGGAGTTGCGTTGTATGTAAGAGAGGAGTATGACTGCTCAGAGCTCCGGTATGAAACTGCAGAAAAGCCTGAGTCTCTCTGGATAAAGTTGAGAAGTATGCGCAACAAGGGTGATGTCGTGGTCGGAGTCTGCTATAGACCACCAGACCAGGGGGATGAGGTGGACGAGGCTTTCTTCTGGCAACTAGCAGAAGTTGCTAGATCGCAGGCCCTGGTTCTCATGGGAGACTTTAATCACCCTGATATCTGCTGGGAGAGCAATACAGCGGTGCACAGACAAGCCAGGAAGTTTTTGGAAAGTGTAGGGGACAATTTCCTGGTGCAAGTGCTGGAGGAACCAACTAGGGGCAGAGCTTTTCTTGACCTGCTGCTCACAAACAGGGAAGAATTAGAAGGGGAAGCAAAAGTGGATGGGAACCTGGGAGGCAGTGACCATGAGATGGTCGAGTTCAGGATCCTGACACAAGGAAGAAAGGAGAGCAGCAGAATACGGACCCTGGACTTCAAAAAGGCAGACTTTGACTCCCTCAGGGAACAGATGGGCAGGATCCCCTGGGAGAATAACATGAAGGGCAAAGGGGTCCAGGAGAGCTGGCTGTATTTTAAAGAATCCTTATTGCGGTTGCAGGAACAAACCATCCCGAAGTGTAGAAAGAATAGTAAATATGGCAGACGACCAGCTTGGCTAAACAGTGAAATCCTTGCTGATCTAAAACGCAAAAAAGAAGCTTACAAGAAGTGGAAGATTGGACAAATGACCAGGGAGGAGTATAAAAATATTGCTCAGGAATGCAGGAGTGAAATCAGGAAGGCCAAATCACACTTGGAGTTGCAGCTAGCAAGAGATGTTAAGAGTAACAAGAAGGGTTTCTTCAGGTGTATTAGCAACAAGAAGAAAGTCAAGGAAAGTGTGGGCCCCTTACTGAATCAGGGAGCCAACCTAGTGACCGAGGATGTGGAAAAAGCTAATGTACTCAATGCTTTTTTTGCCTCTGTCTTCACAAACAAGGTCAGCTCCCAGACCGCTGCACTGGGCAGCACAATATGGGGAGAGGGTGACCAGCCCTCTGTGGAAAAAGAAGTGGTTCGGGACTATTTAGAAAAACTTGACGTGCACAAGTCCATGGGGCCGGATGCGCTGCATCCAAGGGTGCTAAAGGAGTTGGCGGATGAGATTGCAGAGCCATTAGCCATTATTTTTGAAAACTCATGGCGATCGGGGGAGGTCCCGGATGACTGGAAAAAGGCTAATGTAGTGCCCATCTTTAAAAAAGGGAAGGAGGAGGATCCGGGGAACTACAGGCCAGTCAGCCTCACCTCAGTCCCTGGAAAAATCATGGAGCAGGTCCTCAAGGAATCAATTATGAAACACTTAGAGGAGAGGAAAGTGATCAGGAACAGTCAGCATGGATTCACCAAGGGCAAGTGATGCCTGACTAACCTAATTACCTTCTATAATGAGATAACTGGGTCTGTGGATGAGGGGAAAGCAGTGGATGTGTTATTCCTTGACTTTAGCAAAGCTTTTGATACGGTCTCCCACAGTATTCTTGCTGCCAAGTTAAAGAAGTATGGGCTGGATGAATGGACTGTAAGGTGGATAGAAAGCTGGCTAGATTGTCGGGCTCAACGGGTAGTGATCAATGGCTCCATGTCTAGTTGGCAGCCCATTTCAAGCGGAGTGCCCCAAGGGTCGGTCCTGGGGCCGGTTTTGTTTAATATCTTTATTAATGATCTGGAGGATGGTGTGGACTGCACTCTCAGCAAGTTTGCAGATGACACTAAACTAGGAGTCGTGGTAGATACACTAGAGGGTAGGGATCGGATACAGAGGGACCTAGACAAAATAGAGGATTGGCCCAAAAGAAACCTGATGAGGTTCAACAAGGACAAGTGCAGAGTCCTGCACTTAGGACGGAAGAATCCCATGCACAGCTACAGACTAGGGACCGAATGGCTAGGTAGCAATTCTGCAGAAAAGGACCTAGGGGTCACAGTGGACGAGAAGCTGGATATGAATCAACAGTGTGCTCTTGTTGCCAAGAAGGCTAACGGCATTTTGGGCTGTATAAGTAGGGGCATTGCCAGCAGATCGAGGGATGTGATCGTTCCCCTTTATTCGACATTGGTGAGGCCTCATCTGGAGTACTGTGTCCAGTTTTGGGCCCCACAGTACAAGAAGGATGTGGAAAAATTGGAAAGAGTCCAGCAGCGGGCAACAAAAATGATTAGGGGTTTGGAGCGCATGACTTATGAGGAGAGGCTGAGGAAACTGGGATTGTTTAGTCTCCAGAAGAGAAGAATGAGGGGGGATTTGATAGCAGCCTTCAACTACCTGAAGGGGGGTTCCAAAGAGGATGGAACTCAGCTGTTCTCAATGGTGGCAGATGACAGAACAAGAAGCAATGGTCTCAAGTTGCAGTGGGGGAGGTCTATGTTGGATATTAGGAAACTCTATTTCACTAGGAGGGTGGTGAAGCACTGGAATGCGTTACCTAGGGAGGTGGTGGAGTCTCCTTCCTTGGAGGTTTTTAAGGCCCGGCTTGACAAAGCCCTGGCTGGGATGATTTAGTTGGGAATTGGTCCTGCTTTGAGCAGGGGGTTGGACTAGATGACCTCCTGAGGTCGCTTCCAACCCTGATATTCTATGATTCTATGATTCAGGGGTGTAAAAAAATCCACGCAGCTGAGCAATGTAGTTACATAGCCCTAACCCCCCCGTGCAGATAGTGCTACATCAGCAGGAGAGCTTTTCCTGCCAACATAGCCACCGCTGCTTGTGGGGGTGGACTAATAAAGTCCGACGGGAGAGATCTCTCCCATTGGCTTAGAGCAGCAGTAATAGCAGTGCTAAACCAGCGCAGCTACATTGGTGCAACTGTGACAACGTCAGCTTTATTGTTTAGCCATAGCATCAGACACAAAACAATAGAATCAGAACTGAACATATGTGGATCCGGAAGTCTGAAATTGGAGCCTGACAGATTCATTGCCTCACTGGTTATCATTTCTACAGCCTGAAAATCCTTGTTACCCAATCAGGCAGCCAGGTTGGGATCCACCGAGAAGGAATGTCCTATGAAGCACTGTCTCTTTGGATCAAAATGGTGAAGAATGATTGTTCTCAATCTAACCCTGGCATCCATTGGAACTGTAATCAGTGACACTGAACTAGTAAGGAGTTGCACAAACAATTTTCCTTAGGTCATTGCTCACCTAGCTTCCTTTACTTGGGTGGAAACCAAGAACTGAATGTGTACTCTTTCAACCTCAGCTCTTTCTAAATCCTTGGTCTTGGTTAGGGTAAATTTACATTCTCTGAAGTAGAATCCTTTATAAAACCACTCAAAATCTCAGCAGTGTTAGTGAGGAATGGTTCCAAAAACATGCCCAGCTTTTCTTTAATTTGGTGGCACAGTTCCAGGCAAAGGACTGGATACAGGGCTGGATCAGAATCTCCGTTAGTTACCAGAGCTGGAGTTTCTATTCAAAAAGAGCTATTTTTCTGCAGCTATTAGATTTCCAACACTGGATTTTATACACATTTTTAGCACCTAAGAAGGATATATTCAACAAAAAACCCACTTCTATTTCCTCAACATCTGCGTCATGAAGGGCAGCATCCCCCATAATTTAGGATTAGCTAGAAGAGCTCTTTTGTAGGGCCTGGGTTACATATGTTTTGGGAACCAAATACATAGGCATTTTGCCTAGTTCAAAATCATGTACCTTGAAATTCTCTCCCCAGATCATCTGAGACAATATTGACTTCAATAATTGAACTACATTGTGATCATATGCACTTCCTTCAGTTAGTTGGGGTTCTGCTGTTGTTCACCATTTCCGAATGGAGACTGTAAATCACTGCTGTTTCTTTGTCAGCTTGTTTAGTAAATTGGAGAGTTCTCTCCTGTTGACAGAACTGCACTTGAACTGTCTCTGTGTCATCATGGAATGATGGGGAAAAAGCAAAGCTGAAGTGAGAAATGATGACTTTAGCAAATGGTCATTTATCTTTAATTCTCCAATAAATCTGAGCTACATCCTATCAAATTGAACTAATATCCAATTGGGCAATGAAACAGCTTTCAGGAAAGATAGAAACCCACATCACAGAGAGATAGACTACATGACAATGAAAGTGTGAAGTGAAATTCCAGAGCAGGTTACATCTGATTATTCAGAATCAGGACAAGAGATTCTCCCATCACATTCTCCTCTGATCCATTCAAACATACTTAACTCAGCACTGTCTCAATAGTCAGTTATGTTATTTACAACATTTTCAGTATCCTAAGATCTCCATAATGGGAGGGAAAAAACAGCCACCTTGCCAGAAGTGGCTTTGCCAATAGATGGAACCTGGGATTTAAACACCAAATGATCACACTGTGTTTAGGATCCATTAGAATTCCCCTCCCAGGTCTTTGACACTTTCATCTCCAGTCATAGCAACTCTAATATAGGATTAAAGAAGTCAAAGCATCATCTCCAAGCACAGACAATGGAGAAAGCTTCATCACATGACACTTTGAGAAGTGGATGGATAGAATGTTATGGAGATAAACTCCATATGGCTCAGACAAAAGGTAACAGTTCTGCAGCGATGGGGAAGGAGGGAATCTCTGAGTCACTCCATCTCCTTCCAGTGTCACAGAGGCTGAAATGACACTTTTCCCCTGCCCCTGCTCCTCTTAATTTAAATATAATTTGAAAAGTTCCCAATATAACTGCTCTTCAGCAAAACCCAGAGCAACATGAGAACAACTGGCAATGATACAAACTGTATCATTGCTGACTCTAACAATAACTTTACAATAGGAGGATTGTGATGCTCCCTAGTTCCTGATAGGAAGAGCACACTCAAATTACTCATGGGACAATAGAAAGGACAAATAGGTCCACCTCAAAAGAGGGCGAACTGCAAAAGGCAAAAATAGGCCACTCATCTGGACAAGCTGAGGGATAACAGTGCTGCAAACAGTTCAAACAGCTTTAAAAGTTACTATGTGGGAATCAGGAAAAGTATTAAAGAAAAAAAGGATTGATAGACTTAGACGTTTTTATGGTGTTGATCTCCCTTGCAGATTCTCTGATGGCTAATATAGGCTGAGTGCCAAGAGAAAGTATTCCCACACTGGCCGGTCACCTATGTGGATTCTCTGATGTTTAGAAAGGTCTGAGCTGCTAGTGAAACATTTTCCACACACGCGGCATTCATAGAGCCTCTCCCGTGTGGATTCTCTGATGTTCAGAAAGGGCTGAGCTGCTAGTGAAGCTTTTCCCACACTCACTGCATTCATAGGGCCTCTCCCCTGTGTGGATTCTCTGATGGCGAGAAAGGCCTGATCTGTGAGTGAAGCTTTTCCCACACTCACTGCATTCCTAGGGCCTCTCCCCTGTGTGATTTCTCTGATGGCGAAAAAGGCCAGATCTTTGAGTGAAGCTTTTCCCACACTCACTGCATTCGTAGGACCTCTCCCCTGTGTGGATTTTCTCATGATCAGAAAGGGCTGATCTTTGAGTGAAGCTTTTCCCACACTCACTGCATTCGTAGGGCCTCTCCCCTGTGTGGATTCTCTGATGGTGAAAAAGGCCTGATCTTTGAGTGAAGCTTTTCCCACACTCACTGCATTCATAGGGCTTCTCCCCTGTGTGGATCCTCTGATGTTTAGAAAGGTCTGCGCTGCTAGTGAAGCTTTTCCCACACTCACTGCATTCGTATGGCCTCTCCCCTGTGTGGATTCTCTTATGGTGAAAAAGGCCTGATCTGTTAGTGAAGCTTTTCCCACACTCACAGCATTCATAGGGCCTCTCCCCTGTGTGGATTCTCTGATGATCAGAAAGGCCTGATCTTTGAGTTAAGTTTTTCCCACACTCAGTGCATGTATTTTTCCTCTTTCTCCTGAGGATTTCCTGCTGTGTTGTGGTCTCCTTGACGCCCTTCTGAGTTCCCCAACAGGAAATAAATTGACCCACTTTCTCCCCTGGCTGGTTTCCCTGCTCTCTCTCTGGTCTGTGCTGAATTTCACAAGTTTTTCCCTGATCAAGACTCCTGGACAAATTCCTTTTTGATCTTGGTGATAATGCTCTGTGGTTATCCACTGGCTCAACATTTTCTGGCTGAGAATTCTGCTCCTCATTCTCACATACCATTGCATCACCTGCTGTGATAGAGAGAGAGAAACATCAAACAAGGATGGAAAGGGGAAGACCAAACCAAAACAAGTGCTGGAGAGGGGTCAAATAAAATTCAGGAACTGAATTCCCCCAAGACTCTTCCCCCAAATAGAAGAGAGGAGGGGGATCAATTTGGCCTTCACATCCCATCGAAATTCTCAGGGGGAAGGCAGGAATGTCTGTTAGGAGCTACAGGAAGCCATGAGCTATATTTACCCTGAGGATACGACCCCTGCTAGGGACAATAATGAAACGAGAGATCTCCCAAGGGCTTTGTAGGGCATCCCAGATGTGTCCTTCAGGTACTTACAGATTCTGAGTTGGTTTAATGTTTCCTCAACTGTGCAGGGAGCTTTCAAGATCCCTCTTTCCTCTGAACCCTGGAGGTCTGGGACCCATGGCTCTTCCCCTTGTTCCAGCTGGGAGATCACATCAGGTTTGGAAACTGGAAACCCTGCTCAGATGAAACAAAACAAAGGAGTTCAGGTGATTTCATAAGACATTGTCATAAAAAACATTCTATTAATTTAACTTCAGTGCTTAGTGTGACCTGGTGTGCCTGGGGCAGTCCTCACTGAAAATGCCAAGGTCAGGGCAGGCTGAAAAAGGGAGAGCAGATGCTCCCAAAACTGGTGGTTAACACTGAAGTTAAACTCACCGACCAGTCACAAACTGTGCTTCTGATCCCCCACACTGGTTATCGAGAAGCTGGAAAAAAAAAAAAAAAAAAAACTATTGCCCCCTTTATTGCATTCCAGTTCTCTAACTCCCAATCAGCACCTAGGTCCACTACAGTGAGAGGTTATTTAAAAACTCTGCTCACATAAACAAGATGTTCTTCTGACCCCAAGGGTCAGCCACATTAGCAGGTCAGTATAGGTTTGGAACTTCTACACTAAAGGTATTTTGGGTATGCTAAAGGATTGGCTGTCAGCATGGTTTAAGAATGAAAGAAAGAACAAAAAGTTGTTAAATGGGAAAGCAGTCAGATACATTCAGAAATCTATATATCAGGTTCTTAGGGCTGGTCCACACTGGGGCGGGGGAATCGATATAGGAAACGCAACTTCAGCTACGAGAATAGCGTAGCTGAAGTCGACGTTTCCTATATCGAACTAAATGTACTTACTTCGGGTCCACGCGGCGCAGGCAGGCTGCCCCGTCGACAGCGCTTCCTCCTCTTGGCGAGCAGGAGTTCTGCAGTCGACGGGGGAGCGCTTCTGGGATCGATCTATCGCGTCCAGATGAGACGCGATAAATCAATCCCAGAAGATCGATCTCTACCCGCCGAATTAGGCAGGTAGTGTGGACCAGCCCTTAGCAGTATTGGTGAGTTGCTGGCTTGAAAGTCCGTCTGGAACACATCCACAACTTGGATGGATCATTCAATCCTTTGTTCAAGGCTTCAGTTTGTTGAGAAGTTGCTCCAGAGGTAGGAAGAGGGATTGAAGACAAAATGGAGATGATGCAGCTGCCCTTTATATTCCTTTTGCCATGTGGCTTTTACTTCCTGTGTCCCAAACACAAGCCTCACAGCACATGGCATGGAAAAGCCTGGAGGTCTCAGTACACAGGCATACCCCTGCATGTCTTGCTGACTCAACAGGTGTATCCCCTTGGTCCTTTCCATGAGCTCATTGTACAGCTGATGACCCTGAATGGGCCATTGAACAGGCGAGGCAGTGCCGATGCCAATATGTCTGGGGGTATCACCTAGAAACACTGCACAATCTGGAAATACAGATATACCCTGCATATCTATAACTCACAATACAATGGTGATAAAAAACATAGAAACAAAATTATCATACCTGGAAAATCATAACATTTTCACTGACACCTTACATGGCATATCTAGCATGATTCATTGTAATTTTATCATACTGGTATTAATAAAATAAATAATAATAATAATATAAAGTGTCTCACAATTCCATACAGTGTCACACTTCGTAAACCAGTAAATTCCCAGGACCAGCTTCTTGAAGATGCCGAACACTCTGCTTATGAGGGATTGAAATACGCACATATCTACTGGGAACACACACAGACAGACACTGTGTCAGTCTGTACCCCTATGTTCACTCTTCTAGAAAATTATGATAAATTTTGTACATAGTCTTGCTTGTGAGGTATCATTTGAAAACGCATAATCTACTGAATATTATCCTCCTGTTAAAATGTGTAGCAACACTGTATATAAAGTGATGAGATTTTACTGTATGATATTACCGAAAAAGTTACAATTCTGGGGAACACCCACAGACCAGTTCCTCAGAGACAGCAAGGCAAACAGCTGGTTAAATCGCCATTCTCTGGAGGGGGAAGGTGTGAAGAAGACATTTATATTCCTTCATAGGGACCACTGGAAGCTCATATCTACAACAGACAGCCTGTCACCATGACTCAGCTGAGAACTGAAGTTGTTTCTAGTACAAAGGACTGAGCTATTAAGAGGTGAGGAAAATGCTTGACTCTCTCTCTTCCCTTTCCCTCTGCGCATGAAAACTCCTGAAGAACTGAACGTGGGCGGCGGGGTGGGTTAGGGGGAGTCCTGGCTGAAAGGAAAGCCAGCCTGTCTCAGCATATGGTGAGAGAAACACTTGCTTTGAATCCGTTTTAGCTTGTCAAGTTAAACATTAGTTCGTGTTTTATCTTGCATTTCTTTTGTAAACAATTCTGACTTTAATGCCTCATTACCCATAGTCACTTAACTACCCCCCCCCCCCCAAAAAAAGATTTTAAACAATCTTGTTTCATTGTTCTATCTAACCAGTGTGTTTGGATTAAAGTGTGTTGGAAACTTCATTTGGGATAACAAGGCGGGTGCATGTCATTTTCCACTGATGAAATGACAGACTTTGTATGAGCTTGCTTTGTTCAGTAGTGTTCTGGACAGGGCAAGATGTACATTTCTGTGGGAAGTCTGGGACCAGAGAATTTTCTGGGGTTCTCCTGTGGTGTACTGTAATTTGTGAGTCACTAACTAGCAGCACTCAATACTGTGTAGCTGGAAGAGAGTTACATGCTGGAGACTATGTGTTACCTGCCCAGGAGTGGCTGTTCTCACAGTAAAGCAGTGTAAAAGGCACCCCAGCTTGGGGAACTGAGGGGACACAGCTGTTCAACAGTCCAGATTGTACTGTGGTTAATGTCACAGACACTCAATTTCAAAGAGTCTCCTAAAACACCGAGAAACTAAATCCATGTCCCAGAAATCGAAGTCTCCAGACAGAGGGCAAGTCTCCCTGGCACTGCTTCTTGCTGACAGACAGGTCCAGAGACAACGAGAGAGTCCTGGGGAAGCTGGGAACAGTAAGCATGGGCTGGTAGGGTTCAGTGGAGAAAGGGAACAGGAAGGGCAGGGATATTACTGAATGCAGGATCTCGGCAGTACTAGATGTCAGGATAGCACATATTGCAGCCCATTGGAAAACATAATCCCAACTATACATAAAAAATGATAGGGTCTAAATTAGCTGTTTCCACTGAAGAGAGGGATCTTGGAGTCACTGTGGATAGTTCTCTGAAAATATCCACTCAAGGTGCAGAGGCAATCAGAAAGTATCATATTGCCTCTACATAAATCCATAGTACGCCCACATCTTGAATACTGTGGGCAGATGTGGTCTCCTCATCTCAAAAAAGATATATTGAAATTGGAAAAGGTTCAGAAAAGGACAAAAAAAATAAATGATTAGGGATATGGAACAACTTCTGTATCAGGAGAGATTAAAAAGACTGGGACTTTTCAGCTTGGAAAAGAGAAGACTAAGGGGAATATGAGAGAGGTCTATAAAATCATGACTGGTGTGGAGTAAGTATATAAGGAAGTGTTATTTACTCCTCATAACACAAGGACTAGGAATCACCCAATGAAATTAATATGCAGCAGGTTTAAAACAAACAAAAGGAAGTATTTCTTCACACAACACACTGTCAACCTGTGGAACTCTTTGCAAAAGGATGTTGTGAAGGCAAAGACTGTAACAGGGTACAAAAAAAGAACATGATAAATTCATGCCCATCAATGGCTATTAGCGAGGATGGGCAGGGATGGTGGGCTTAACCTCTGTTTGCCATAAGCTGGGAATGGGCGACAGAAGATGAATCACTTGATGATGACCTGTTCTGTTCATTCCCTTTGGGACACCTGGGATTGGTCACTGTTGGAAGACAGGATACTGGGTTAGATGGACCTTTGGTCTGACTCAGTGTGGCCATTCTTATGTACTAGGGAATCTAGTGAGTCCAGTGTAACAGGAGGGAGTAGGAAAATCCCTGGGTGTGGAGAACACTGGGAAATTAGAAGGTATAATTCAGGAGCAACAGACTCTAATTAGTCTGGAAAAGCAGAATGTAAAGAATAAGTATCGGGGTCATGTGACTTTGGGAATGAGGGATTCAAAAATCCAGGGAGCCTGCAGAGAAGAGAGAGTGTGACTGTTACACATGGTGATGGGGGAGCAAGACTCTCCATGTCTCAAGGAGTTTCATTACCAACCTAAACCATTTTCACACGCTGGGGTGCAATCCAGAGCAGTGAGGAGTTGTGTCATCTGTAATCCTGGGTGAGATTCAGTGTTCTGCTGCTGGAGCTCCCCTGTCTGGATACCCCCAGCCAGCATTCAAGGACACATTGAGTGTCTGTGTGATAAGTAACCCTGGACCAGCAGCTCTGACTCCAGCAGCCTCCTTGTTACACCCCAAGCACATTCTGATCTGGGTGGAGTAGGCTCAGTGTTTGAAGAGAAGGTCAGGGGTACAAAGCTTCTGTTCGTTATGCTGGCCCTAACTCCCAGTTTGACTTGAGCAAACCGGAGATATTTGACACGGTGCGATACTGCTCCTGTGCTCTGTTCCCAAAGTGTTCTGCAGCAGGGGAGGGTCAGTGGTAGTGTGTGTGTCACTGGCATATTGGGGTGATGCTGAAACAGGACAAAGTAGAGTTGGCATTGTGGGGGTGGCATGAATCTTCTCTTTTCATTTCCCCTTCCAAGAACTGAGGGGACAGTAATCCTTACCCAGCGAGGTCACATTCTCATAGTTCTCCTGCATGTCTCTGTAGAGGGCTGTCTGAACGGGGTCCAGCAGAGCCCACTCTTCCCTGGTGAAATAAACAGCCACCTCCTCGAAGGCCTCTGAAAGAGAAAGAGTCCCACATTCAGTACCTGCTGCCCCACTATTCATGGGGGAGAAGAGCCAATCAAATGGAATCTCTGGGTGGCTCACAGTCAACACAGTCCCACTCCCACCCCACTCAGAGCATCCAGGAATCAGCAGAGTGAGGGGATGAAGAGAGAGCCCCTTGTCTCTCCCAGAAGATCTATCACACACCTACTAGCCACAGACTGATACAGGAGATGGAGCCCCTAGCAGGGTCCAGGAAGAGCTCTCTGGGAGGAAGCACAACACCCTCCTCATTGTGAGGAGCTGGATATGAAGGGAGGAGAATCTCCCCTAAGCCTGACTGGTGGGTGCCCCCTTCACATCTTAGAGCAGTTGGTTAGTCAGTTCAGGCTCCAGCACTGAGAGTCTGGTCAGTTTTCCTAGCCCAGTGTAGGTGGGTTATTTTCTGTTCCACAAATTAGAGTATTTCCACCTCCGAACCTCATGGGTCTGTTCCTAGAATCTAGGCCACTTATTAAACAACTCCCTGTCCTCCTCCCTTTCTCCACCTTGTGCATTTCCTGCACTGCTCCAACCTCCAAACCGGACTGTGCAAACCTTCCCATCTCCAGTGTATTTGCTGTCCTTCTCACTCCTGCAGGAACAAATCAGCAACTCCCGATAATTGCTACCTGAACTGGCTCCTCTGCAGCCATTTCTCTCTCCTGTCCCATGGGAGGATGAGATGAACTGGAGCAAGACATGGACGTCATTCTGCAGCCTGGTATGGAGAGAAGGGCAGTTGTGGAGTTTTCAGAACAGGCTTTAGTTAATTTCACATCACAATTCCCCCAGGCTCTTTCCCTGCAGACAGACATCCTAGATTCTGCTACACTGGGAAAATGCTTGATCTCTTTATTACAGTGTAGACCTGGCCCCTCCTGCCAGGCTAAGCCCAGAGACATATTTTTAACCTCCCTGTGATGTGCTGTACCTCGGTTATTAGCAGCCTGCAGAACCCCGAGCCAGGGTCCCACCAGATATTCCCTGGGTCCCAGCTCCCAGAGTCCCTGACCAGGGATACCAGATACCCCTCAGAGCACCACCAGCCACGGAACCCCCACCAGACCATCACTGCCAGGTTGGGAATCATAAGAACATAAGAATGGCCATACTGAGTCAGACCAAGGGTCCCTCCAGCCCAGTATCCTGTCTACCGACAGTGGCCAATGCCAGGTGCCCCAGAGGGAGTGGACCTCACAGGTAATGATCAAGTGATCTCTCTCCTGCCATCCATTTCCACCTTCTGACAAACAGAGGCTAGGGACACCATTCCTTACCCATCCTGGCTAATAGCTATTAATGGATTTAACCTCCATGAATTTATCCAGTTCTCTTTTAAACGCTGTTATAGTCCTAGCCTTCACAACCTCCTCAGGCAAGAAGTTCCACAGGTTGACTGTGTGCTGTGTGAAGAACTTCCTTTTATTTGTTTTAAACCTGCTGCCCATTAATTTCATTTGGTGGCCCCTTAGTTCTTATATTATGGGAACAAGTAAATAACTTTTCCTTATTCACTTTCTCTACACCACTCATGATTTCATATACCACTATCATATCCCCCCTTAGTCTCCCCTTTTCCAAGCTGAAAAGTCCTAGCCTCTTTAATCTGTCCTCATATGGGACCCGTTCCAACCCCCTAATCATTTTAGTTGCCCTTCTCTGAACCTTTTCTAATGCCAGGATATCTTTTTTGAGATGAGGAGACCACATCTGTACGCAGTATTCAAGATGTGGGTGTACCATGGATTTATATAAGGGGAATAAGATATTATCCGTCTTATTCTCTATCCCTTTTTTAATGATTCCTAACATCCTGTTTGCTTTTTGGACTGCCACTGCACACTGCGTGGACGTCTTCAGAGAACTATCCATGATGACTCCAAGATCTTTTTCCTGATTAGTTGTAGCTAAATTAGCCCCCCATCATATTGTATGTGTAGTTGGGGTTATTTTTTCCAATGTACATTACATTACATTTATCCACATTAAATTTAATTTGCCATTTTGTTGCCCAATCACTTAGTTTTGTGAGATCTTTTTGAAGTTCTTCACAGTCTGCTTTGGTCTTAACTATCTTGAGTAGTTTAGTATCGTCTGGAAACTTTGCCACTTCACTGTTTACCCCTTTCTCCAGATCATTTATGAATAAGTTGAATAGGATTGGTCCTAGGACTGATCCTTGGGGAACACCACTAGTTACCCCTCTCCATTCTGAAAATTTACCATTTATTCCCACCCTTTGTTCCCTGTCTTTTAACCAATTCTCAATCCATGAAAGGATCTTCCCTCTTATCCCATGACAGCTTAATTTACATAAGAGCCTTTGGTGAGGGACCTTGTCAAAGGCTTTCTGGAAATCTAAGTACACTATATCCACTGGATCCCCCTTGTCCACATGTTTGCTGACCCCTTCAAAGAACTCTAAAAGATTAGTAAGACATGATTTCCCTTTACAGAAACCATGTTGACTTTTGCCCAACAATATATGTTTTTCTATGTGTCTGACAATTTTATTCTTTACTATTGTTTCAACTAATTTGCCCGGTACTGACGTTAGACTTACTGGTCTGTAATTGCTGGGATCACCTCTAGAGCCCTTTTTAAATATTGGCATTACATTACCCAAAGGGTTCCCCCCACCAAGAGCCCCGAGGAGCCACGGACCCCCCCAAAAGGACACCCCATTGGGAACTCAGTCCCTCACTGTGGATAGAAAGTTTTCACGGTGACCGGCAGTAGCCGGGGAACACCGGGCAGTGCTTGGACCAGGATTCTGGCACCAGCTGATGAGTGAGAAGGAGCGTGGTCAGTAGTAGCAACCAGAGCTCCCAGCTAGGGGCCCCAGATAGCCCCTTGTATCCAGAGTTGCCAGCCAGGGACCCCCACAGATATTCCCTGGGACCTAGCCCCCAGAGTCCCTGGCCAAGAACTCGATACCCCTCAGAGCTCCGCCAGTAAGGGAATCTCCACCAGACATTTACTATCAGCTTGGGAACTCAAAAGGGTTCCATGCACTAAGAGCCCCCAAAGTGGCCAGAGACCCTGTACTGGGAGCTCAGTCCCTCACTGCCTGCCTGGGATTCCCTCACTGCCTGCCTAGGACCCCCACCTGCCCTCCAGCAGGATCTGCCATGCCGTTTGCCTGGGACATCCTCCTCCTCCCAGCTGGACTCCCTGTGCTTTACAGCGGGACCCCTCACTCTGCTTCCTTGGCATCCCCTGACCTAGCCCCAGGGATCCCCCCGACAGCTCTGTGCACAGGGCATGGCAACGATCCCAGGAGCCAGTGGGGAAGCCTAGACAGAGCCCCTGGCACAGCACCAGGCACCCGCTATCCCCCTCTCCCGCCTCCCCAAGAGACACCCACCCCCATTGTTCTGCAGCCAACAGGCCCCCAGCGATACCCACCTCCAGGACCCATAGCCTCAGCGCTGGGCACATCAGAACCACCCCCCAAAACCCCAAACCTCCAGAAGCCACGGACCTGACTAGGGTACCCCCTGACCAGTCACCCAGAGGCCTCCCCCAGCACAATGCTCCTTCAGCTCCAGCTGCAATCTCCCCACACAGTCACGCCCCTGCACCCAGCAAGAGTGTTACCTCACAGAGTCTGATAAGTGGATAGAAAGTTATCATCACCCCCAGTTGGCCAGTCACAAGGCAGAGGGAGCCCTGGGGGATGCTTCTTTAACAGGAGAATGGAAGGCCTGGAGGGCCAAAATAGGTAAGAAATTTCCATGCCGTCACTAGCAAATAATGGCCACCGTGGATCCACCCCAGAGGTGGCTACATCTTAGCACTGCGGGAAGCAGCCCCTCACACAGACCATTTATCATGGGCTTTGGGATACTTCTAGACCCATGCTGCACTCAGAGTGACCCACTCATCCTGTGCCAGCTGGAGAAAAGAAAAGGGTCGAGCTAACTCTCCTGTTACCAGCTGGGAACCACTGATCCCCCAAACAGGGGGAGGCCTCTGGCTTTGATGGGTATTAAATATGTGGCTGGTCTCTTTCACCGGCAAACATTTTTAACAGAGATAAAGGAGGGAACAAAAGATTCTCAAAGGAGAAGGGAAAGATGATCATAGGGTAATTTAACCCCCTGCAACCTCCAGGATGGAGAACAACTCAGGGCAAGAGGTTCCCTCCAAGGAAGGAGAAGTAGCTGGGATTTAGAAACATGGGGAATGGCCCCAAACCCGACAGGATTTTTAATAGACATTTGATAATGACATAGAAAGAGGCAAAATCTGAGCTTTGAGATCAATGTTCAGAAACGAAAGAGAAAGGGTGGAAATTTGGGGGATTTTGGATCCATTTTTGCAAATTATAGAAAGGAAAGTGGAATCTCAGAGGGATTTCATATCAGTTGTTGATATGAGGTAAAATCTGAGTGTATTTCACATCAATATTTGATAAATTAATAGAGAGGAAATGGGCAACATTTGCAAACATTTTATTTTCATGTTCAAGAATCTGAGAAAAGGTATAAATCGGAGATTTTCTTAGTATTTTATACTTAGAGAGACAGGGAAAAATCTCAGGGCACATTCAATTAGAAATAAACAGCTAGAGAAAAAGTGGGGCAAATGTTTAGGGTATTTTATATCAATCTTTGAGATTTGCAGAGAAAACATGTCACAAACTACGCAACTGATAACATGAGAGAAAAAACACCAAGATCTGAGAGGCTTTTATATTGCTATTAAAGAGCTAGTGGAAAAGGGGGACCGTTTGACTGGATTGTATATGACTGTCCAATACATAAACAGAAAGTGATGGTTTCCCCCACTGCCACCATTCACATGAGCAGCAGGGAGCCTTTTGAGGAGCTGCTTTAAGAGAGCAAGGGAGTGGGAGGGGGAGCTGGAAGGCTCCCTGGATGA